TGATCTGAGCTTAGAATTGAAATATGAAAAACCAATCCTTTTTTCGTTTTTGGTTTAACGATAAAAAACAAAAAACAAAATAACCAGTCAATTTTTTATTTTTTGTTTTTTGATTGGCAATTGAAAATAGAAAGAACGAATGATACACGGATTGGCCTGTTGCCTGAACAAAGCTTTCAAATCTCCTGAATTCTTTTCTGTTTGATTGGATCCCTGTTTAAAAAACAATCAGGCATAAGTGAAGTGTAGAAGAAGAGGAACGACTGCAAAATTACAGTTTGCTTTTGCTTACAGGCATTGATGCTTTGCAAGAAGCATCTGTTATCGGTCAAAGGGGTTGGAGGAAACTGGCAGATTTATGATTTCTTCCTTTGTTTGACAGAGAGCCAACAGTGCGTTTTGCTTCTCTAAGAAAGATCTAAAAATACTCCTTATGGCTAAATTTTACACTGACACATGACTAAAGCAGAAGTGATATGTATGAAACGATTTACCCAATATAAAATTCCAGCATCTGCAGTTTGTATTAAAACTATTATTAACAACTGTCATTTTTATCTGATTCTCACATTTTTAAATGCAGACATTTGGAATCGCACCAAGAAAAGATGTATATAAAACTTTTAAAAAATATCTTTATTTAGCAGTAATGAATATTACTGTGGAAGTTTAGGTAAAAAAAAAAAAGACATTAGAAAAAATGTTGTTTTTCTTAATGTAAAATTGCTTGAGATAAACTTATTTAAAATCAATTTAAATTTAGCTTTTTTTTCTTTAGTAATTTACTTGACATTTATGCAAACTGATGTCAGTTCCTGTTACCATTTAATTAGTCATCCATGTCAGTCTGTTCATTAGACTTCATGTTTTTGCCTATTTCTTTGGACAGTTTGCCAACGTGCAATTTGCTATGGTACACAGTCTTGTAAGAAAGGTAAAAAAAAACTCTCCAAGGCTTAATCTTAGAAATGGCTTTAAGTTTCTATAGCAACCATCTGGATGTTTAGGAGATGCCCAGGAGAAAAGCGTTCTTCTGGCCTATGACAAGCTAAATGTGTAAAGTTTGCTAAGTACAACAGGGATTTAAGACTTATTGTGGGCTTTAATCAAATGAGACTGAGATTGAGTTGTTTAATTTACAAACACTCAATGATTGTTTATAAATAGTATATTTTATTGAGTTTTTTTTACTCATTTTGAAATGGTGCTATTGGAAGGTGTGGTCATTATGTTATTGGTCCTTTGTTTTTTCCCCTCCATCATCACAATGTTTCTCACATAAAGACACGATGACAACTTTGGTCCATAAAAAAGTCTGAAAAGAAATATAAATAAGAAAGCTGTAGGGTAGGATATTTATCTGACAGCCTTATCAGAGCTTCCTCGCTCATTACATTCCTTATGTTACCGTGACACTTACTCAGGTCCACTGTTAAAGTCTATTTAGTATCAAGAATTTATTCCCCTTCCATTTACTCAACATAAAAATGACTTAAAAACATGTGTGGGAGAATCTGATTTGGAGGTCTTGTTGTTCTCTTTGGCGAGTCTAAGAACATCTTGGAACAGCTACAGTGGAATATATTTGGGGGGAAAAGAGAGACGAGATGATGGGATTAAACAGTTTGTTAGAAGCCGTGTAACTCCCACTCTTGTATGGATTGGAAACCTCAAACCCCTCTGACCAGAGCTGTGTTAAACCGCTAGATTTGTTTTCATCAACATAAACATGCTGCATGAATGTAAGGCTTAAGAGTTGGTGGGTTTGTTTAATTTTAAAAGCATGCAGCAGAAGGAATGGAGGACACCTGTCCATGCTAGTCTGAGGCGTGGAGAAGGCAGCTTAGATACACTTCGGTGTCCTCTCAGATCAATCTGATATTGTCTTCTTTGCTTTCTTGTTTTTAGACAAAGTTGATACTATAATCTCTAAACTGCTTAACATTCATTAAGTTTAAAGCAAGAACAGAAGGGCAAAGCAACACATAGAGGAGTATTAAGAGAATGAGTTGCCATTACACAAAAGAGGTGTGGAGAACTGTCTGGATAATGAATCATTGTTTTAAGAAACATATGAGACTCACCCACAAGTGCTTGCAGAAGACAAGCATGCATATAAAGTGACAGTTTGCAACATAAATCTGAAGAGGGGGAGTTTCTGCACAAAGCATGATGGGAGAGAAGGAGGTGAGTGACCCTCAGCATGTTAGGAGGAGGCTCACCTGTCAGATCAAACACAAACATAATTCTTCTTTGCATTTGATTTTTTTTTACATGCAGGGATCTGTTAAGTTTATGTTCACATAGAATGTCTGTTATGTATTTGTAAAATGACACATGGGGTAATTAAAAAATGTTATTTGGGTTTCCAATTAAGAAAAACAATGCATAGATTGAGTCATATTTAAAGGAGTCCAAACTTTTCAAAGAAAGTTCTCAAGCTTTTAGTCTTAAGGTTTTTTTTTTGGCAGGACATTAGACAGAAATGTAACGTACAAACCCAGAACAGTTTTTACCATGTTACTCTGTACTTTAATTGAAACATAATAAAAACACTTTACCGAGAACACAACCTTCACTGATTCTAATGGAAAAGAAAGAGAAAATAGAAGAAAATGTTTATCATCTGGTCATCAGAAAATATGACCATATGGGACAGTTTCACACTCTTAGCACCTAAACATTATGAACTTAGTGTTAGATTTTCTTGCTTCTCACCATGTAGTCTAAAATTTCCATCAGACTATAAACATTCACTTCTTCACATATGAAAACAAGAATGGCTTTTAGGGATGCCCCCGGAGGAACGGCTCATGTCTCTAAAAAAACATGGCATCATCACTTCGACATGACGTTGCATAAAGAAAAAAAAAAGATTTATGGCTAGATACTGTAGATGCTCGTTGTTGACTTGTTGAAAATCAGAAACAAGCCTCAAAACTCTCAGCCTCAATGGACCCAAAGAAAGGTTTGCAGGATCAAATATCTGCAAACCTTAATGGTTGAAACAATGTTGTAAAATAAAGCAGGCTGAAATTTACCCTGGATGAAAAGAATCTTATAGTTGTTGCATGTTAATTTTAATATGCACACATTTTTTTCTTTTAATATTAAATGAAAATGTTATATTTTGTACAGCTAAGGTTTTCATTTTAAAGTATATCCTCCAGTGCCATAAGTCCTGTTTGCTTTTAGGTTCCAGGTTTGCTAACTATATTTAAAAAAAGAAAAGCTGCAACAAATGCCAGCTAACAAATAGTGAAAAGATTAACACCCTTTTCATATGCATGTATTTTTAATATGTGTGCTGTGTGGGAGCAGCTTACCATGAGCTTAACTTTTATTATCCAGAGGTACATGATACCTTCGTGTTATAAGTCAGTTTAATGACCAGGGTTGCTGGTGGGTGTTATTTTTAACAGCAATAAAGTCAGAAATAACTGTTAAACTATACAGAAACTCAATGCTGCACAAGCTTCAGAGAAATATATAAAGATCTGCGCAGCATAAATTATTCAGCTCTGATGTGGTCAGACGTAATTGTTATGCTGTAAACGAGCATACAGGTAAAGTTCACCCTAAAGTGTTTTGCTCTGCAGTAGTTAAAGAAAATTCCTAATTGTGAAGAAGATTTTAGTTTAAATCAAATGTTAAAACCTTCCTTTATAACGCCCTCCAGGAATTTATTCCCAGGAAGCTATTTTAGAGACAGGCAGGTGTGCCTTTGGTATCCAGACGCAGAGGCAGCGCTCCTGCTGTGAGTCCACAGATAGACCTTAACATTTGTTGTCAGAAAACATGAAAGAAACAGGAATAGAAATAGATTTCTTGCCAGTGATGTCCTTTTATGGTAGAAAACAATTCCCAGCATCCTGTCTGCTTATATTTAGTGTGAGGTGTCTTTCAAGTTTTTTTTTTCCAGTCCACTTTTGTAATTCTCAGTATTTCTTTCCAACAATAGATTAAGCGGACATTGATCTACGACCGAATGGTAAAATAATGAGAATTTATATTTTGATTTTAATCTGCAATTATTTCCATCCATCCATCCATCCATCCATCCATCCATCCATCCATCCATCCATCCATCCATCCATCCATCCATCCATCCATCCATCCATCCATCCATCCATCCATCCATCCATCCATCAGGACATATTGAGGTTGTTAGATTTTCCATCTCTCACAGGGTTTCCGCGGGTCATTAAAAATGATTAAAAGTCATTAAATAATTATTTATTTTTAATTAAGGCCTAATTTGGCATTAAACTTCTTTAATGCTATGATTTTGGCATTTAAAATGTTTTATTTAAAAAAAAAAAAAATTTATGAAACAATATATATATTTGCAAATATATTGTGATATATTTGCGCGGAACTGCTTCCGGTTGATCGGGATGTTCGAAAAAGAAGCTCGCTGCAGAGAAAAGGCTAGAGAATGGGGAAAAGGCTAATTTCAACAAAAGTGGCTGGAAATTGAGGAATTGCAGCCTGCCGAAGAAAAATATTAAGGAATTTACCGTGTATATATGAGAGTCATGGGTATTTGTTGATGGCATTAAAATAATTTCTAAGAGCATTAAAAATCATTAAATTAGAGTTAATAATTCCTGTATAAACCCTGTCTCACATCTCATTCAACAGTTCAAACAACAGATGACAGCATGTAAAAATGTTTTTTTTCCTGCATTAAAAAAAGGACAAGAAGCAGCACAAGTGTGGGATTTTAGTTTTTTAAGAAGATGGAAGGCAGGTTGTTAAAGTGCAAAAACATTATTTGCTTCCAGCAGAGCAGCAGACTAAGCTGGCTGTGTATCGAGTTCACCAGAGAGCCCTCCTTTGGGAAGAACATTTTTCTGTATTGGCTTATTTTTTTCCATTTGTTCTGAGATAAACATTAATACAACTTATGACCAGGATGTGTGGGGTCTACATCAATGTTAGCTACTTTTGCAAAACAAGAGATCAGATTCATAACGAGACTTGTTTGTCTTTTTCAGATATGACTATGTAGAGATCCATGATGGGAACTCGGAAGCAGGCGACCTGCTGGGAAAGCACTGCAGCAACATTGCCCCGGCTCCAATCATATCGTCTGGTCCATCTCTTCACATCAAGTTTGTGTCAGACTACGCCCAGCAGGGGGCGGGCTTTTCACTGCGCTACGAAATCTACAAAACTGGTAAATCACTGCGTTCTATCTTTTTTGGGAGAAACAATCCTAACTTCTAAAAAAACATGTTCTGATTGTTTATAAGAATATTTCATAGCATTTTAATTTTTTTTAAATCTTGGATTAAATAAAAAGCAAGAGTTTTATTTCGTGCAAAAAGGAAAAGTGGGCACGACTTGCCCCAAAAGCAATTCAAAGATTGGACCTTTAGTTAAAAAGAGTGGGTAGAAATAAAAAAACATTAATTGTAAATTAAAAGAACAATAAGTAATAATGACACATAGCGTTTGAAATCCGTAAAACATGCTACACACGTAGCATTCCTTCCCTCTCAAGTGAGACCAGTACATGATACAATTTCTGCTTCACTTCTCACCCCAGCTTCCATTTTTGCTAGCTGTTGTGTCACTACCCGATCCGTCCTGGATCCCTAACATCAGCTCATTTGCGCATTCGCTGCCAGATATACATCCAGGTCGCTTTTGATTTTACTTGTAAAAAAATCCTAAATTACTGACATCTTGTGTAAAAAAGTACCTATTGTCTCACTGTGCAATAACACATTCCAGCTACTGTGTAGCTTGTGTAATAATGTCAGTACCGGTACATCTCTGCAGTACAAGTGCAATAACCCAAGTCAATTGCTATGTAGTCTTTCCTCTGCTCTCTGCTGTGCAGATATTTTTATATCTAAAGGAAACATTTTCCAGGACATTACAACTTTTTTATGCTTTTTTGTACTATATACACACTTTTATATTGTCCGTTGTATTTTTTATCTTTAATGCCTTTTAATGCACTCTGTATAAGCTACTGGAACCAGAATTTCTCTGAAGGAGTAATCCCAAGGAATAAATAAAGCTGAGTCTAAATACAAGTCTAAGTCTAAGTTTTTCTGTCCTTAAAAATAGTAAGTGTACTAAACTATAATGTATTAAAGGTTAATAATGTATTTCCAGAGTAAATAAATGCCTTGAAATCCTTTCTGTTTTATCACTTGTCTGTGCCCAATCTATACTGGAAATGGGCTCCTACGCTACTTCCAGGAGCTAACTTTTTCGGCTTTGAATTTAAACATAAATCTAGTCTTTTTTTAGTTTTATGTTTTCCATTTGTGTTAACATTATGTTATATAGAGTCTAATCCGAAGAAAGAAACAACTAAAATGCAGATATACTTGTTTTATCTATATTTTGCCGGACTCCTCTGAGCATGTCTGATGATGATATTAGACGAGCAGTTTAATGGAGAAAATGTAAAAAACATCAAACTGTCTCTGGAAAGTCTTAAAATATTTTTGAGCAATGTTAGTGTTTTAGTATTTTTTAGTGATTTAAGGATGGAAATAATCTATTTTAGTTCCATAATTACATTATTTATGGCGACCTGGATGAATATCTTCCTGCACATGGCCAAATGAGCTGATGGAACAGATCGGGTAGCAACATGCTGCTCTTTTGCTAACATAAAACACCAAAGGCTGCCACCTGTTATGGCGACCCTGGAAACTCTAATATGATTGGCTCAGGAACCACTAGGTAAACTCAAGTAGTTCTGTACTGCATTTCTAAGTTAAAAAGGTCAGAATTTGACCAACGTTGCTGGGGAGGACTGATCCTGGATAAGAAATGATAATTATTGGGGTTAATTATTTTGGTTTTACGGTGAACGTCTTACTCATTGGTACTTTAATCAATAGAGTGCACTTTTAAAGAGGCTTTTATTACAAGTAACAAGACGACTAAACACGCTTCATTTGGTGATCAGGCTTCTTTTATCTCCCCGGTGTAAATGAAGTCGGAGAGAACATGTCAGGAGACACAGCAGAGGACCCCTGAGGGTCCTCCAGCCTGTCCAGGCAGGTCGTTTCTTCACTTCATGACACTCTGTGTGTGTATATAAATGTGCGTGTCTGACATGGCTCCCCTTCACGCCGCCATGGGTCAGCCGAAGCGAGACCAATTGAGATGAAGGGCAAGTGAGACACAGAGGCGCACATTGGCGACCTCATAGCCATCTTGTCCCGTTCCCTCTGAAAGCATTCCACTCATGCCGGCCTAATTGAGTCCTGAGCTCCTGTTCCCCTGAGACACACAAACACACACACAGAGGGCTGAGGTTACTAACACAACACGTGTGGTTGTTGGTGTTTCTCACTTGTTGGCATCAGCCTTTTGGGATTCCCAGAGTGTGCGTTTCTATGTGTGTGTATGTGCATGCCGTTGTTGCTTTGTATGACCACCTGATGAACTTCAAAAACAAGCCTGGTGTCAATATCCAAACACTGGTACCTGAGGGAAAAAACTAAGACAAGTTTGTTTCTGTGCTGTTCTATCAAAATTGCTCTTCTAGGCATATTTAATTCCAGTTTTTATAGTTTTGATTATAAGGCTTTATTGCAGTAGACAACATTCTTATGCTGGACAGAATATGGCTCATTTTATATGAGTTTGACAACATTTAGAACCAATCTATTTTGCCGAACTGCTGCTTGATTGAAAGTATGGTATCCATTTGAATTGTTCCCTTATTTTTAGCTTACCCCAACACTTGGAGATAACATGATGTTCACAGGGTCACCGTAAATTTATTTCTAACTGTAGACTTCAGCTAGCTTTGTGTTTGTGTCCGACCCTCTCTGGCACCGACGATGGAGCCATTTGGAACATTCAAGCTGTTGCCGGGCTGCTAACAGGATCTTGTTTTCCTGGAAGGTGCAGCCGAACGTCTGGTTGTGTGGGTGAATTTTGTTGGAGATGTATGCCAGTCGCAAATATTGTCCAGCCTTAGGGTGAAGCATCTAAATATAAAATATGTTGCTGTGTTTTGGTCCACTGTGCATTTTTGTTGAAGAAATAATTTGCTTTCAAGAAACAGACTTTGTCAATAGCTCTTGTCTCTCAGAAGTTGTTTTTGGACTTTAGTTATTTGCTACAAAATGTCATGTACAAATACAGCTAAATGGTGTGAGGAAAGCTTGCAAGGTTTGACCTACATTGTTTTTATTGAGTCCTCTGAGCTCTGATACCCTAAATCCAGCATGCAAGGAAAACATTAATTAGGTAATCTAGCAAGAACCACATAGTAAAACTGGAGGAGCAGCAAAGATCGACAGCTCAGGAGGGAAGACCTTTTTTTTATACTGTTAATGATGTTGTCTTTCTGGAAGAGCAGCAAAAAAGGCTTTTTGGCTTAAAAAAAATAAATCCTTCTTTCTGTTTGTTGTTAGCCATTTAAAGAAACATACAGTAGCAGACATGAAAAACAAGGAGCTCCAGTCAGATGAGTCCATGATTGGTGACCAAACACCATTGCCACCTTGAACTGTGGTGGTTGCCGCCTTCTGCTTTGGGGATGATTTTCTTCAGCAGGATCAGGCAGGCTGGTTAGAATTGATAGGAAAATGGATGGTGCTTAATAGAAAGTGATTCTAGAAAACCTATAGAGGCTTCTTTGCTGGAAGCCGGTAAGAGATTTTGAAAGACTGTTGTGGCTGGGGCAGAGATTCACCCTCCAGCAAGTCTATAACCTTAAGCATACAGTCAGGGTTACACTTTTAGCATTACGATCAGAGCACATTGGTGTGTTTCTATGGCACACTCAAAGTCTAGACTTGAATTTAATTTAATTTAACTAATTCTTTGTACTGTAAATGTGCAAAGAGAGTAGAGAAATATCTGCCCTGTAATTACAATGAGGCTTCTACAACATATTGAATCTGGGGCTTTAAATGCAAGCAAATGCTTAACAGTTTCAAGTTTTGGTTGTTACTGTAGCTTTATTTATTACTTTAGATTTTTCTTTATGTAGTGGAACACTGATTAGACATGTTCTTGTCTGTAAACTGTTTACCAGATAAAAAGCATTTTCTGAACTGAAAATACAATCAGTGTGAAAACTATTAAAGCTATCTGTGTGATTTTCTGCTAGATTTGAAATAGAGCAATAAGTCTTCATTGTAACAGAGGCCCTCTCTTTCAGTGTCGTGTGTTGCCATGTTGTTATCTTAGATAATGGCTTTGTTTTTTCTGTTTTTTTTGCCTTTTTCCAACCCCCATCTGTTACTGGGAGCACTGGGAAGGTTTGCCAGTGTGGATGAGGGTTTGCAAACCTTTTGTTTTTACCTAACAGATCGATGGATACAAGAACATGGATAATAATGTTCAGAAGAATCACAAACACACACATAAACAAGTTCTAAAACAATCAGGCACTCCTCTCTTGTTGTTGTTTACAGTCCTGTTACTATGGAAATAGTAGTAAATTTTCCAGCCAATACTGAGAGAAGCATGAGCATGTGACAACCAATCAAACTTTAGCACCCGGGCAGTGTTCCCCCAGCTGCCATTGTGACCCAGAACTCCCCACACGCACATGCACCCACACACTCACACACACACTTGAATGCACTGATGCAGGCTGGATGGATACTGACAAATACGGGACAGCTTGCATGTCTGCACGCAAATGTTAATTCACACATGCAGACATGCAGTCTTTCTCACACCACAAAGTGGGAATTTATTTAAGGGATATTTTCTGGTTTTACCTACAATATGTTGCTACAGAATAAACCTTCAAGTCACTCAGAAAGCATTATCTGTAACTGGAAAATGAAACAAAAACACTGATATTAATATTGCAGCCTATGGGCAGCAGTTTTAAACCTAACGTGATTTGAATCAACTAAACTCAACTGTGTAAGGATAAATCCACCTACATCAAATCACAGAAATTCTCACCTACATGCAGAAACTCACACAGTGGGCAGTGTGGAGTGGAAGTTATCGTGACAACCCCTTCCAATAACTAGTTTTGTTTACATTCTATCCAGTGCCTTTAGGCGCTTTAGGCGCTGCCTCTGTCCCTCTACTCATCAGCTCAGTTTATTAGTAAGTCTGACCAATCATATCACTGCCTCCTCCCTCTTCCAGCTCCCATTGAGGAAAGTGCTTCCAGATCTGACCTAGCAACAAGCCAAAGGTGCTTTGGAAAAACAATGATGAAAT